ATCTATGTTTAACATCTCTCTCTCTCTTTTTCTCTTTAATATCTCTTTCTTTTTTTCTCTCTTTAATATCTTTCGCTTTTCTTTCTTTAACATCTCTCTCTTTTCTCTTAATTTTTTCTCGTTGGCATCTTTGATTCTCCTCCTCGCCTCTCTCTTTATCTCTGTCTTAGCATCTTTCATTAGCATCTCTTTCTTTCTCTTTAACATATGTCTCTATCTATCTCTTTAATTTCCCTTCATTCCTTAGCATCTCTTTTATCTCGCTTTCGCCTTCATTTTTCTCTCGTTAAAATATCTGCTCCTTCCCTTTTCTAGAATTTCTTTTTTCTCTTTAGCACCTTTCGTTAATATTTCTTTCTTTCTCTTCAACATCTTTATTCCTCTCTCTCTCGCTCTCTCTCTAGCTCTCTCTCTCTCTCTCGTTTTCTCACCGTTCTCTCCTTAGCAACTCTTTTTTCTCGCTTTCTTTTTATATCTTTAACATCCCTCTCTATCATTTTCTATATTTAACACTTCACACCATTCTCTCTCTCTCTCTCTCTCTTTAGCATCCTTCGTTAATATATCTTTCCTTATCTGTTTCTTTTTCTCTCCTTAACATCACTATTTTGCTTTTGCTTTCTCCTTCATTTTCTCTATTTGGTATCTCTGTTCCTCCACTCTGATTTTTAGCATCATCCGTTTACATCTTCTCTTATTTTAATATTCCTTTCTCTCTCTTTCTCCCTCACTTTTCTCTTTTTAGCATTTATATTCTCCATTTCTTTCTTCTTCTTTTTAGTGTTTCTCTTTTTATCCGTCTGTTATTTCCAATCTTTCTCAATTTATGCGTCCAATCGATTTAAGTTTTCTTTCTTTATTGTCTGTTTCAACATATATCACATTTGAAGATGATCCGTCTTTCAGCAATCATGCGTTTCTGTTCCGCCATCTTTATCTCTCTCTCCGAACGTGATGTCAGATTCACCTGATTTCGAGAAATTTCTTTCATTTTTCTAATTTACAAGATGCTCATATAATTCATTCGATTACATAGTTTTAACTCAGCGTCACCTCAAGTTAAAAGAAATTTAATTCTCTGACTCACTCTAAAATCTTTATTCAGAAATTCACATTTGTAGATTTTCTAAATACAATTCTTGAAAATAGATTTTCTCGAATTTCGCTTCACATCAAAATGGATTTAAGAATTTGTGGGACGATATAAACACGTCCGTTACTTCTTGTTTTGTTTTCTTTCTTTCTGTTGAACCTTAGTTTCTCCTGTCCTGTTATTATACAATTTATAAAATCCTTAGTTGTTCCTTTTGATAAACAGAATGACACTAAAATATTTAATTCCCAAGTGAATATGTTCACATTCTCTGTTTAAATACCTATTCATATTCTACTGATCTATTGAAAACATTTAAATCTTTTAAAATCAATTATGTTAAGTTTAATGAGTAATTCTATAAATGAATATTATTGAGAAATAAACATGAAAGCAATCAGAAGATCCCAGCTACAATGAAGAATCTATTGTAATTCCATGGACCGAGCAATGATGAACATTTAGAGACAATGGAAACAAAAAAGACACTTACATTTAACATCAAAAAGAGAGCGTTTAAATTTCTAAGGCACACAATGAGGATACAAGCCTAGGAAAATTCGATACTCACAGAACAGATTGAATACAAGAAGAAAACAACGCATAACCTAACCGAGCAAGCTCGAGTAAATGAATGGCGGAACAGGGATTAGGAGAGATAACAAAAAGGCAACATTTAATAACAGCTACAAACGGAAGGAAATTGTGGAGAGTTGTGATCATCTATGTTTCGAAAGGACACGGCAAATAGAAGAAGAAGAAGAAGAAGAAGAAGAAGAAGAAGAAGCTTAAGTAAATGGACGGCGGAACTAGGTTTAGGAGAGATAACAAATACAATTTATTAAGAGCTACAAAGGGCAGGAAATTGGGGAGAGCCATAATCACCAACGTCCTGAAGGGCCAAGGGATATAGAAGAAAAATATAAAAACAATGTGACTATGTATTTTGAGTCAAGCGACCTGATCTCTCCTTCTTAGTAATGAAATATTCCAAAGTAACAGTAACATTAATCAGCGATTATGACAGATTACGTAGTTAAAACATTACTTCTTTTTCTTTTTTTTAATTTCTTTTGATTCCAATTTGCTTTTTTTTTTATTTTGGTGGTGAGGGTGTCAGTTTGAATAATAAAGAAATAAAAAAATTAAGTAGTACCTTGAACGAGAACTCCATCCTAAACACAGAACTCTCTTTTTGGACATTGTCATTGAAAACTTAACTTTTCATATTTCTTTTTCGTTGGGAAATCTTTCAATTTTTTAAAGGCTTGATTTTTCGTTCGTTCATTCTTTCCTATTTAACTTCTTCATTGTCTCATTTTTTTCCGCTGTCGAAGAATACAAATCTACATCGATTACTAAATATAAGTACGAGTTTGAACTCGGTGATGCGAAATTGCATTCCAAGTAAGGACGTTATAGGAAGATTTTCCAGGTCGAAAGACACTTTCCAATGCTGACAAATGTCACAAAATAATTTAAACCTGCATTTAGAGATCGTAAACGTTTCTATACCCAATTAATATCACGAGAATTTTATCTAAATTTCTCATTCTCATCCTATTTTTTATCTATCTCTATCTATCTAGGTATCTTTTTTAGTAACAGATTTGCAAATACAAACATTAACAAATATACCATCAACTTCTCCCACCACACGGTTCCTAAACAAAGTATTCCCCGTTTCGTTGCCATTTCCCTCTTTATCACAAAATCCTCTTTTTTCGTTTTCTCTAACAATTCTCGCTTCTGAACAGAGTAATTCAATAAATATTTGCCGTTGCTCAACCTAAGTTCATCAACAGGCGTCTTTTCCTCTTGCCGTTTAAAATTTGGAGTTGTGTCCCTTGATTTGGTTTCCTATTGCAAATTCAATTGCTCTGCTCTGTTACGGACGCTAAATGTCTAGTCAGGTAAGATGGCGGTTATGATGGACGGACGCTCATTTTATTTGTAACCCTCCATTACGGACAAGTACAGCTAGCAACGCTTGAGAGACTATGATAAAATATCAACAATAATATATTAACATCTGCATTGCTATATCCCAGTGAAGGGTCAGCAACGCGATTTACGGTTCAATTCATGTTTGTTCTAAATCTTACACGAGGAGAATTTTAAATTGAAACATGAATAACATGTTTCGCCAATACAAATTAACAATACAAATTAACAGTTTCATGTGAATTAAATATATATATATATTTTTAATCGGTATCACCCCATGCAAGGCAGTAAAGCCACTAAGACACAAGGAGTTACAGGGTGTGGAAGAATTAGGAACGCAATTATTAATAATGATCGGAAAGAAGAAAGTGTAATCAGGAGGATAGTAGATAGCGATTAACATTGCTTTTAATTTTTTGTAGATTAAAGTTAGCTGGAAAGCATGGAGCCGGAACGGAGTTCCACAAGCGAGAATTGCGAGAAAGAAACTGTTAACATAGAATTTATGGTTACATCTTGTCAGCTCAACTAATTAATTAATAGACTAATTTTCAAAAAAAAATTATTAATCTGATGTGTTACCATTGATTTATTTTGAGTTTGTAAATAATTTATTGACTTCAAATATTAACATCAGCTCCGCTGTTTGAGAATGAGATTATAAAGGCGCAAACATATGCATTCATATAGGGAATAAGAATGAAACGACAAAGAGGGGGGATATGAACTGTCAGATCGGGAAAGGATATACTAAGCATAGCTTTTATATGGCACAAGGCCGAAAGCATGGAGCATTGAGTGAAGATTGAAATCACTAGTCAGTCGTACTTGATATCGAGAGACAAGCTTGCTAACTCTTACACTCCGTTGAAGTGCCTATGATATGCTTTTATTATAAAAGTCTGAAAACAAAGGTTGGAAATGAGATTTGTCTATGGTACATGTGAAACAGAACAAGAGAGAAAGAGGCGGGAGGAAGAGAGAACAGATGAAAGAGAGATAGTGAAGGAAGGAGAAAAATTGAAAAAGTGGAAGGTTAGTGAGGCGAGGAGAAATAATGAAAGAAAAGGAGAAACATAATGAGTAGAAAAGATAAAAACACGGAGTGTAATGTGCGTGTAAGTGGGTGTGTACTTTTGGATTTTCTCGATATAAAAATCAAATTCAATTTCCATTTTTCTTTTTAGCATTTCTAAAATAAATCTTTAGCGACTTCATCAAAGAAGAACTTTTTTTAACCTTTGTCAATTTCTTAAATGCAGGTTCATTTTTGTTGTTGTTACTCAAATTATTCCAGGTTAAAACTTCTCTTTTTCGAAATAAAATAATTTAACTCTCTGCTTTGCACATTTCTATCTTTCACAGACATTGTTGCAAAAATTTACGTACACACAGATGCATTTAAATAACGCGCTGATGCACTTACTTGTAGCTAAAATAGCGGACATCGCAATATGAAGCAACACACACGCGTCTATACACAGATATAAATAAATAAAACAAACAAAACTGTGACAAATATTTATACACGTATATTTCTGTGAATATATCCATTTGCAAAAATCTGCCCAGTCATATAAAGCTTTAAACAAGGAAAATGCCATCAGATATTCGAAACATCCAACGCGTGCAAATAGAGAAAGGTGGGAGAGGATAAACAAATGCACTAAAAGGAATAATTTCTTCCAAAACGGAAGTATACACACACACACACACACACACACACACACACACACACACAAACGCACACACACGCACAATGTGTGTGTATGTGTGTGTGTGTGTGTGTGTGGAGAGAGAGAGAGAGAGTATCCTATAACTATAGCCCAGAGCAAGTATATTGGATTATAAAAATGACGCAGTTTATGTTCAACATATTATCTAAGATTTTGCTATTTCGTACACTTATCTGATATTTCTTTTGCTGTAGATGGATCTTCATAATGTCTAGATTTGAAATGAGAGACCGATATTCGTTCGTGTCCTCTTTGTGGTGATGACCATTTCTGGGATGTAATATTCAAATCTTAGATAATATCTTGAACTCTTGTATATCAGTTATGTAATAAATATATTTGGTACTCTATGTGATTTTTATAATCCAACATACTTGGAATCATTATGGGACTCCTTCTACACACACACACACACATATATATATATATATATATATAATCGACTCTCCCGTCGAGATTCGACGGATGAGGGTCAAGCAGATCAGTTTCCAGGAAATCGACAGCCCGACACCGGCACATGAGATTTGATTATAGTGGTGAAGGCCTCGTGCAGGACCATCCACACTTTTTGAAGGGACGAATACAGAGACCTGGTGCACCGAATGCCACAAGGTTCCCAAACGACCCTCCGCAGGTTTTGAATTTAGAGTTGTCCTTCTCCTAGACCAGTTGCCATCCAAGGCTATAGAACCCAGTCTGTCCTGCTATTTTACCCATAACTGGAGGGAGAGGAAGAGAATTCATACCTTTCCCAAGGGTATTAGCACGTAAGTGAATGTAATGGATTCGACTGGAATTCGAACTGCGATTCCTCAATCCAAGCCGCTATCCATTACTCCACCGTATATATATATATGTATATTAAGACATATCTCATTAAATAATTTAGACAAGTTTTGTCTACTTATTTATTAATATGATCCTCTCATATTCACAGATAAGCTTCTTAATATCTTTATTAAAGGAAGGAAAATGTTACCATATTGATACATATTTATTTATTCCGAGTACTTTTGACATTAGAAAAATGTCACCTTCGGGCTCTTGTTTTATCTAAGACAAACTTATTGTGTTTATCTGAAAATTATTTTTTTTACTTGTGAAGTAAAACGCTAAACTTATGTACTTTACTGCAGTAACCTCAAGGAAGGTAACTAAGTTATTTAGATGTCTATCTAGCTAAAAAATATTTTAATCTATTAGTTAAAATCTAGATATTTTTCAACTATCAGCTGTAAACATTTTCAAACATTTATGCAGTATTCATAATTAATTTTATTAAGGGTTGGTTTATATATATATGTGTGGATAAAGGCGTTAGTTAGTGACAGGACCCAAAGAGTGTGAGTTCAATACCCAGTTAAGGCAGTGGAGAACTTGGAGAGGCGAATTAACTGATAATTGTCATCCATTAAACATGGCACGTGGAATTAGAACAGTCTACACCAGCGAGCGAAATAAAGGGTTCAGTTCGACATTCCAACCACCTGAAGAAGGCCGGAGCGTACAACGGCCGAAACGTTGTAATAAATATGACGACAAAGATGAGGACAATAGTCCGGATAATGTAAATAATGTACATAATACATCATCTCAGAAATATAAATAGATACAGTAATGTCCTCATGCTGTTTTTACTTTCTCCTTGTTCTTTTGGCGTCTCTATTGATAAAGGTGGTTTCGTATGTCAATAGTCCTCTGCGAATTGATTACTGCCATTGAAATCAATAGATGCATTTAAGAAATAGCAATATGGACGCGTCAGTATAAGCCTTTGGAATTATTAACACAGAGTTCGTTGCTAACTAGATGTCTCACTTACGGAGAAATAAACGCTGATGTATATTTCACCCCAAGCAAGGCGACAATGCCACTAAGACGCAAAGGATTACTTGTAGTGGAAGAGAAGAGAAAGGACAATAAAAGAACATAATTCAGGAAGACAGAAGATGGCGATTGACGATGCATTTAAATTTTTGAAGATTTTAGGTGGCAAGGAATAAAACAATTGGAAGTGTTCCACAGGTTAGAAATGCGAGAAAAGAAACGATTGAATATAAACTACTGTTACATCTAGCTATTTAAACATTAAACCGATGAGACCTAATTGCAAATTAAATAGTACGCGTGGGGTCGAAGCGCCAAGGAAAAGAGATCATTAGAACAACTACCTTAAAATATTTATAGAATATGCAAAGGGAAGCCACTTCACGTCGGTAGAAGAATGACTTAAGACAAGATAGCAAGTAAGGACCAATAACATTACAAAATCAAAACTTTTGTCAAGAATCTAGGGATATATAGCCTTAGCCCCAGACCAGATATGGCGGCAATATTCAATGGACGGACGATTGGTAGATTTATAAATGGGCAAAATGAATTCGCGTGAGAAAAATTGTCTAGCACGTCACAGTGAACCAACTTTCTCAGCAGCAGACCTAGCAATTGATTCAATAGAATAGCTCCATGCCATGCCAGGTGAAAACCTAAGACAAAGACGGCTCAATGAGTTGCTCTTCTAAAGGTTAGCATCGGACAGGAGGACAAAAATGGTTGTCTATGTTAAAGGAGAGCTGTTTTGGAGCTGTTCAAATTAAAAAAAAAAAAAAACATTTCTGATCATTTTCGAGAGCAGCTACCAGTTTTACTTTGTCAGACCTGTCAAACTTCACTATTATGATGGAAGTAAATAGTTGTGTCATCTACATAAATACATAGTTGAGA